GGGGAAAAAAAGAAAACATGATGTATAACGTAATGTGCAAAAAAATCTAGGGACTAGAAATATGAATTCTCAGCTATGACTTAATTATAGCCCGCCAAACATGTGTATACAACATCATAATTGTTTTATTTTGCTTTAAGAATCTGGTTCTGACCACTTTGAACCATGAAGTTCACTGAAGCAATAAACCGGGACACGAAAGCAAAGAGTACTTATGTGCCAGGCAGAGTCGTAGAGACTTTACAGACAGAATTTCAGTTGATCTTAACATTATTAATGTGAAATTTCTCCGACATTGAGAAAAAAATTGAGAGTCACTGAACTAAACAGCAAACCTTAGAATGCAAATTTACCTGGAATAATAGTAGCTAAATTCTAACTACTGGAGATACCTTCACCCAGCTGTTTATGTTCAGCCCCTTTTTAATGGACTCAGAAGGAAGCCCAGCTCAGAAAGCTCCTGTTCAATTTCAAACGCACGTGGCTTATATCCAACCGCCTAAATGCACTTAAAACTAGGCCAGTCCTCTGCTCATAAAGCAGTAATTAAAACCCGTCACTGCAGCTATTGGGGTACTTGACTTCAATCCAAACCACAGTCAAAACAAAGAATGAGAAAGGATGTTTGCGACAAAACTAAAATGATTTAAGAACAGTGAGGCTGGGCCCAGCCTGTGTTGTTAAATTCTATGTTGGTGTATGGAACCCGGTTCCACAGGCAAGACATGGGGAAAACAACAACCTTCCTTCTGCATTCCCATGACAGCAAGACAGATGCGTTCAGGATGAATGCGCGTGCGCATCAGGATGAGTTCTGATCTTCATTCATTTATTGGACATTAAGTGGACATCTGCTGTCTGTCCAATGCTACTGCTAGAAATAAGGCTGCTTCTGGCCTTTGAATATTCAGCTTCATAATTAATAAGCTACATGAATCTTAGTCATATAAAAATCAAGATAACCTTTAGAAAAGCCAAAATGAGAATCACACAATCCAAATTCTAAAGCCCAAGTCCTTTATTAACTAGCTAGTCATCTAAAAGTGCGATGAGGCTGTGGTCTTATTTTATACTCGTTAACAACACATATGGTTTTCTGCACACCGTACCCTACAGGGGTCATTTAGTAGCTTATTGCCTGTAGGCAAGTTACTTCACTTGCCTGACCCTCAGCTGGCTCAATGGGAAAAGAAAACAAAAAGGATAAAAGCTCTACTTTAAGCCTGGGATAATGACTAGAGATAATTATATAATGTAACAACACAGAGCCTGGCGTTTAAGAGAAGAGTAGCAAATATAGCTAATATCATAATCACTGGATTTAGAAACCAGTGACAAACTGATCAGAAAAATCAAATTAGACGTGATGGACTGGAGGGAGAAGAGGCTAAGATAGCTCTAGGAACATGCAGCTGACCGAAAGGAAGGCCTTGTGCAAACTACACCGATACAGAAACTCTGAAACGAGCTGCTGGAGCCAGCAGGACACACTTCCACACTGTTAGGCGATCACAAGTGTTTTCCTGGGATGTAGCAATGATGAGTCTGAAGATGACATAAATCTGTTTTAAACAGACCAAAGTTTTATTCCATGATTTTTTTAAAAACACAGATGAACGCATAATTGACTTTGGATTCCTATCAAAAGTGATTTAGCATTACAAAGTTAACAAATTTCACGTCTAAATGTTAATGAACTGCAAAATTCTCTTCACAAGCTCCCGTTAGACTTTATGTGCAAAGGAGCCCCTCAAACTTCACAAGCAGTTTTTTTCTCCCACACACAGAAAAAGATGTATTTCCAATTAACTGTGAAATATTTCAGTGCAATGGCCTAAGATGCTATCGGTTCTTTAACCACTAAAAAAGAGCAAAGTTTTGGTCTCCATCATGGCTAAAGGTTTTTTGATGTACCAAACATATACACCAAACCAATGCAAACATACCACAAAGATCTCTTCCCCTTGAATTTTCTCCCTACATTTGAAAATCAGTGAAAAGCAAAAAACATCTGTTCCTTCCTGCAGAGCTGACAACCCTCATTTTATGGCTTAAAAATAAAAGATGTTTATGGAAATTTAGAGTGTTAATGATCACCTGCCTCAAAGGGAGCTGGCAATTAATTGACTGAAAGACAGGCAAAATGAAGGCCAAAAAACAATTTCCCTGCAGACAAGGCGGGTGCTCCTTGGACCTCTGGTAATCTCCAAGACCCCCTTAAAATCCTAAAATCTCCAAGACCCCCTTAAAATCCTAAAGGATGGCAAAGAACCAAATGCGATGCCAGAGGACAAGAAAACAGACAACAGCTGGGAATGAGGGGCCCGGGTCAATCTGGGTTCATTCTAGCACCACGAGAACAGCTTCCGGGAGGGCTGCCTTGAGAAAATGCGGCTCACTCTAACCAACAATCGCCTCTTATCCGGCCCAAGCACGGCCACATGGTCAGCCATGTCAAAACTTAAACACGGCAACCAGAACAATCTCAGAAGTGAGGCCCATAAATTCTATCATATTTTTAAAAAATTTATGTCAATGGTGTCTTACAGCAGTGAAGATCCAAAAATGAGTAATAAGCAAGGATATTCAGACATGAACCAGTCAAGGCAGCTTCTATTTCTGGCTCTGGCTCTGAATGAATCACGGTCTGACCTTAAGAAAGTTATTTCATCTCTTTCTCTACCCCCATTTCCCTACCAGTTACAAGATTAGGGGAAACTTACTGATTCTTTGTTGTGGGGTTTCTTACTTTTTTGGAAAGAAAGTGAGTGAGTGATAAAAATACATGGAAGCTACTATGTAAGGATGTACTGGCCACTGACCAAGTATCTCCATCCATCAAATACAAAGTAGGTGATGTCCGTATTAAAACAATTAACTGCACAGTAAAGCGTTCTGCCTGGAGAGAGGTCAACGGAACCCAGGTACTTCCTTAGCAGGATTCCTTTAACAGAGTCCCGAATTGCAACTTTGGAAGTACTTAGCATAAAATGCAAGTTCAAAGAGTATACTTTATTCCTTTAAGGAAGCAAAACTTCGACCTATTTGGTCTCCTATTACCTCCAGGACTCTGACCAATCTTCCCATAAAGTCCTCTTCCCTTAGCCCCTGCCAAGGGGATAAGTCACTGCATCCTTGACTTTCCCATAGTGTGGTACTGTATACCCATCCTTAAGTGCTCCTATGTGAGCCTGGGAAAGGTAGAACCATGGGGTATGTATGTATGTATGTGTGTGTGTGTGTGTGTAAAGCCTGGTACATATGGCTGCCGTGTGTGTGTGTACACATACATATATATTCGTTAAACGAATGAAATGACTGTATTTACAAAATCTGATGTTATTAGAAAGAGCAACAGTTAATATTAATGAATGATAGCCTTAATTATGGTGACGTTCTCACTTTTAGAAAAATAATATGGGGAGGTGGGAGGGACACTGGGGGTAAAGGGGAAAGGGTTTTCGGGAATATGTAAAAAGCACACATGGAAAAATCCCCAAGGTGGGTGGGATCAAGGGTGGGAAGTGGGGAGGGCTGGGGTTGGGGGGGGGGAATGGAGACAATTGTACTCAAATAACAATAAAAAATGTGGGGAAAAAAAGGACCTGGAACACTAAAAAAAAAGAATGTTACCTAAATACAGAGAAAATACATGATTTCTCACCAACATTAAATTCACAAGAATCAACTCCAAAAATTTCCCATCTTCTTCCTTCAAAAATAGTCTTTTGGGAGGTTTTGTTTGTTTGTTTACAATTTACCTAATGGGGATTAGACTAGAAATATTTCTTTTAACTTAACCTACACAATAAAAAAGAAAAGAAGTAAAAAGGAGAGGGAGAGAGAAAGCATGTAAAATATTACACTTAAGAATCCATAATGTAAAATAAAAGGTAGCCCATACATGAAAATAAAAATGTGGTCGATCGATAAAATGCCAAAATATTAACACCATTTAGCGAGCTAAAAAGTAGCCACGCTTATTGAGAAATGTAATCTAAGTAACATTTTACAGCCTATTTATTAAAGCAATACAACATCTGACTTTAGCGTTCCCAATTACACTTTGCAAAGTTAACTTAAATATTTATTCCAAACCTATCAGTACTTGTACAAGTTTTCATTATTTTCCAGCTCTTTGAATTCTTACACTCAGTATTTCCTTTAATAAGTAAGAGGAGACGGTAGTAAGGATGAAGCAAACTGGCACTCCTTTAGCGGACTCTCAAGGTAAGTCCTTGGCGTCTACAAACGTGTGAGAAAGCGTAACCTCATTGGCACTACTAGGCATTTACCGCAGTAAACTAACCCGTTAGCTGGCCTTTCAGGAGCCTAAAAAAGTCTATGGCAGACGCAAAAGAGAGGTGGCGGCTGGAGAACGGTGTGCTTTGGGCCTTCCCACCTTCACTAGCTCCGACCTACCCCCTGTGTTTGAGGACCATGAGACCAGAGTATTAGGGAAATGAAAATGATCCCTAACATTCTCATACATTATTTATTAATTTTCCTAATAGTGTGCATCCGATTTGATTGCATCACAAAGCAGGAGTAACTTCACCAAGCGGTCTACTAGTTAAGATTGCAGCAAGACAGAAACTATCTGGAGACTATATAGAGACCAGCTCTGGCAGAACGACTGCTTCATTTCTCCACACTGGCCCTTCAAAGGACCGTGAGCGACTTGGTGTGTTTGGTTTTTAATGCTGTGGGTGGGGACGAGGAAGGAAAGAGAATGGTGGGCCAGCTATCTGTCTGGTGGAATGGACACAGAGAATAACAGATATTCCGGAGAAATGGACAGAGCAGCCCTTTCCCGAGATGACTTAGGACAGACACGACTCAGTTGTTCCCTTCAACGCGTAAGACATGAAGTGAATCCCTACGAAGGGACACGCCACGGGCAGGCCTTGGCTTTTCAGAGCCTAAGAGGGTGGGGGCAGGGGGAGGGCCTAACTGGCAGGCGACCTGCGACCTGCGGACCGGCGGCGGGAAGAGCTCACCCGTGAACACGTTCTGGAAGCCATCCGCGGCCGCCTGCGCCCCAGACGCCTTGGCTGCCAGCGGCGGGGGCGTCGCACCGTCGGGGGGCGTCCCACTGTCGGCGGCCGCCCCGCGCTCCAGCAGGTGCGCCGAGCCTCCCGCCCGGGGCGCACAGGCGTCCAGCTCCTCGGTCCAGTCGGCAGAGCGGCTGAGGCCGCCCGAGAGGCCGCCGTCGGCCCGGTGCTTCTTGGCCGGGGCGGCCGCGGAGGCGAAGGCAGCTCTGGGTCCCCGGCTCAGGGAGGACTCCAGCCGCCTCTTGATCCTGGGGCTCTGGTTGGGGGACTGCGACGGGGAGTGATTGGGCGAGCTGAGCTGCCGGGTGGTGGTCTTGATGTAGCAGGGGGTGACGGGCGGGTAGGGCTTGGCGCAGCGCGGGCTGGGGGCCGGGCTGCCCGGCAGGGAGGCGGCCGCGGGAGCGCAGGGCCCTCGCGCCCCCTCCCCCGGCTCTCCCCCCACCCCCTGCGAGGCCTTTTCCGCCGCCAGGCCCCACTCCTCCCCCGGAGAGCCGCGGGGAGCATCCTCAAAAGCGTCCTCCTCGCCGTCCTCATCCGTGTCCCCAGCCCTCTGCACAGGGGCTCTGGCCGCACCCTCTCCGGGCCCGACCTCGGGAAACTGGAAGACGGTGGACGAGGATGAGTCCACGGCCGTGGGCTGGGCCACCGGCAGGACGGGCGCCTCCGAGGCTCGGCGGCCGCTGGGGGGCGGCGGTGGCTCAGGCACCGGGGGCTCAGCGACCGGGCTCTCGGGCAGGTCGGAGAGCGCGGACAGCGGCGGCTCGGTGTCCGGACTGCCCGGGGCCTCCGCAGCCACGCCGCTGGTCCCCAGCAGGAATCGGTCCAGGCCCAGGAAGGCCCCGGGCTGTGGGGAGGTGGCGACGGGGGACACTGCTGGCCCCTGGGCGCCCTGGAGGTGCTGCAGGCGGATCGCCTGCTGGATGTCTGAGAGCAAATCCTCTTGCTCCGTAGCCGAGTGGAAGCTATAGATGTCCGTGTCCGAGCCCGAACTGGTCCTTTGTCCATCCTGCGCCCCTGCCGCAGTTTCCAAATCTTCGGCGACAGCCTGGCTCCGGACCCCAGCCTCCGCCTGCTTAGGGCCACGCGGACGGGTCACCTCAAAGGCGTCGGCACCCTCGGTATCCGACAGGCCGGTCTCGTCCGCGGACAGGCTGAGGTCCGGGGTCTTGGTGATGAGGGAGGGAGCGCTGTCCAGCTCCCCGGTCTGCAGGGCCTGGGAGTCCAGCACATTCTCGCGGGAGCCGCCGGCGCCTCTTCCCTTGGACAGGTTCTTCCTGATCCTGAGGTTGGAAAACACCGAGGCTCTCGACTCCGACTTGCCCTTCTTCTTGCCGGGCTCCCCGCCGCCGCCGCCGCCGCCCCCCTTGCCGTGCCTGCCCGGAGCCTTCTTGCTCCCGCTCCCCTTCTTTGTGGCCTCCACATCCCTGGGCCCAACAGCATCCTCCGCGCCGCCGCCGCCTTCGTGGGAGGCATCACCTGCGCTCCTCTTCAGCTTCCCATCCTGGTTCCCCATGTCGCACTCCGGCCGCCGCGCCTCGGGCTCTCAGGCCATCGCGGCCCTCCGGGGCCCCCGGCCCGGGCGCGGGGCGTCTCCCAGGCCAGTCAGGCTGCCGGGCGAGCCGCCGGGAAGCGAGGCCAACGCGAGCCCCACTGGCCGCGCGCTCTCCTGCAGCCGCTGTGCACAATGCGCGGCGGCTGCGGCGGCGACTGCAGCCCGGGACCCGCGAGGCGCGAACATGCTCAGTGCAGCGCGCGGCGCCAGCCAATGGCTGCGCGGGACGCGGCGGGGCCTGGCTCCCCGCCCCGGCCGGGCGCGAAAACGCGTCCTCTGTCTCCAAGACTGGAGTCTCCAGGGCGGATTGCACCCCGAGAGCTCGTCAGCTGGAAGGTGCACGCAGAACTTCAAAGCTCCGGACAGGCCAGAAGAAGAGTTAGGCGGAAAGGGGAAGTTGGGACAGGGCAACACTGAAGCCAAATTTCACCTTGGAGGTGCTAAGTCACATACACTTACATGTACACCCATCCGTACACACACCTGCCTTCGGAAGCGTGGGTCATCAATAAATATCTGTGGGATGGATGAACTCTTCTTTAATCATTGATTTTCCTTAACACTTATGTACTTGAGCATATGGTTTAGGGAGGGTAACGACACATAGTCATGCTTTTATGCTCCACGCAGACCTTGCAATATTCTCCATGGGAGAATATTGGCCTTCAATTCATTTTAACCTCTTTTTTTTAACAGAATGGCGAGGTGGAGGAACCACAAAATACTGGGAGATTAGAGTTGATTAAAATGCTAAGCCCCCAAATTCTATGTTTACCATATAAATAAGACAGACTTTGTATGTTAAGAGGGTGCGTATACTATAATTCCCAGGAGGTCAAACTCATCAATATTAAACACGTCCCTATTGTCGCTGCCCATAAAAAAGGAAGAAGAAAGGAGGTACCCAGGGCACACACATGAAATGAGATGTCAGGCTATAAATCACCACTTTCCCAAGCAGACCCCTGAAGGCAAACTTTGTCCTCGTGTCATTTCAGAAGTTAGCAACAGTTCACTGTGATGAAGTTTGTTCACATTCTGGCTTCCACATAAACATGAAACTTTCCCTCATTGTAAATCTTGTTGCTATTTTCATTACTTAGGAAATTTAGTTACCTATATTTAAGAAGCATGTTTAAACATCATGGGTATTTTTTTTAAGTTCCAGGTAGTAAATTAAAATAAGATTAAAGTCACATTATACAATCATGTTGCAAGTATTGAAGTTAGAATTTAATCCACAAAAGAAAGAAACAAGCAAAATATAACCAGAGACATTGAAATTAAAATCAATCTGCAGTAACCAGAGGGGAAATGGGAGTGGATAATGGGGGGAAGGGTTTTCAGGAACAACTATAAAGGGCACATGGACAAAACCAAGGGGGAGAATGGGAACGAGGGAGGGGGTTTGGCTGGGGTGGGGGCAGAGTGGTGGGAGGAAAATGCAGACAACTGTAATTGAACAACAATAACGTAATTTTTAAAAAACATGTTAAAAAAAGAATTTCATTGTCAGCCACTTGAAATTATGCAATAACCATGCCGAATGTTAGCATTTTTAAAGTGAGCCCGCAGGAGCAATTTAAATGCAGCAAGCAAATGTGGGTTTTTTTGCGTATTTGTGGACCAATATTTCGAACCTCTCCCTTTAACTACTTTTATCAAAAAAATTAATGGTCTTATAAGTCATGTTAAAGTATATGTAGCAATAATTAATTACCAGCCTCTTTTCTAATTACTTTCTTTAAAACAGATAACCTAAGGACAGGTGGCCAGTGGTCCTCAGGTGGCCCTTCTGGGTAACTAGTTTGGAGAAATCGAGTTTAATGACTTTGCCAGGGTGTCTCCAGTCTCAGAGCAATTCTGGCTGCTTGCAAAGCCTTTGTATAGCATCCTTCACAAGACTGCCCTCCTCTCGAACCCAGGCTCCTCCGAGAGCACACTCTGTCTGAGGCTGTTGGAATTGTCTGCTGCTGTCTGTGCTGAGGCAGCATGGAGTGGATCTTGATTTTTGCTCTGTCTTTCACAGGACATCTTTGATTCTGAGCTATTTGTTCTCTTACTATTTTCTTCTGTGATACACTCTACAAGTTCCAGAGACAAAAGACACTCTACAAGTTCCAGAGACAAAAGACGAGAAGGGAAAAGGGAGGCAAGGAAGGAGGAAAGGAGAGAGGAGACTGCTGGATGTCTTCACATCCTTTGAGAGTGAAACAATAGATGACATTTGTGCACCAGGTCACAGCTGACAAAGCTCTATTACATGCAAAGGATTATGTGAAACTCCCAAGTGTCACGGAACAGCAAAGGCAATGCTTAAACCTACAAATTTAGATCCAAATTCTTCATAACAAACACCACACAGTTTAGTCTTTGAGGAACTGGTGAGGGCATCACGGAGGCAAACTGCAGAAGTTTGCAAAGAATTCCTTGGCAGTTAGTCATCCCAAAACGCCTGGGGTGTGACTTAAGCTTAACTCCATTCAATCAAGAAAGAACATCATGTAGCAAGAACACACTTAACAAATAATTAGAGATCCAAATCTGTACCCAGCAATGTACAAGGTCCCAGGACACAGAAGGGAAATATGCCAATGTGGCCTGCCTCTGTGTTCAAGGGTCTAACCTACCATTATTGTTGGCAAAGTCTTCAATATTAGCATCCGCAAAAGGTCACAAAAACTGTATATAAAACAAAATGTGGTGCTACCCATCTCCCAACCAAGAGCATTGGATATGGACTTTGACTATAATATTTAAAAAACTGGACTGACAAACTTGAGACAAAGGTTAAATGCCAGGTCATAACATGTACATGTGGGCGTAGTTGAAGTAAATGTACTGATTTCTGCCTCTTACTCTAAAATGCACCAAATGAATAAGATGCCTCAGTGGGTGGACGATATCATGGACAGATTTGTAATCAAGCAATTATAGTAAAATATTAATTATATCATTTAGGCGACGGATCTATGGGTGATGCTGTGGCAATCTTCCAACTTTTCTATATGTTTTCATACAGAAAAGTCACTAGGGAAGTGTCAACTGTGATTGAATGCCAATGTCCATTTTTTATGCTAAAATGCTGCATAAGAAATTGAGTTGCCAGAACTGTGTTCATTTTCCAGCTTCTTTGAAATTAAAATCATGTAATGGTCATTGGCACTGCAGAAACACTAAATGAATAAGTAATTTCCTCTCTTCACTCCTACCTGCCTGTTGCGTGAATTACACATCCCTTCTTTTTCTCTTCTCTCAGCTCCTCCTCCTCCACCACTGTCTCCATTCAGTGTCTCTCAATACCAAAATGGTTTTGAATCTTGTTTTTTAAGTTTTCTTCTCTGCTTAACCTTGGTGGAACATTTGAGAATCTCCAGCAAAACAAGCAGATCTCATTTTAGGTACCCAGTTCGTCCTGCTCCCTCCTCACACCCTACGTGTCTGAGAGTGAACTCACCTTCTCCTGCACACTTCACCCTCCTGTGTTCTTTCCTTCAGTGAAGGCACCGCAATCTCTCCAGTTGCCTGAATGGGGCTTGTTGATGCCCCCTCCCTCTCCCCGAGTCCCCACGTGTCACTAGTCACAGAGATTTCTCTATTCTTCCTCCTCAATGTCTCTCAAACCCATTCATATTTCCCATCCCAAATGCCCTTCCCATGCTTCCCCCACCCCCACTTCCAACTCTCACAATTCTCCCTTCTTATCATCAATGCCTCTCAACCAGGGCGATGAGTTTGCTCCCCACGGGAAGTTTGGCGCTGTCTAGAGATACTTCTGGTTGTTACAAGGAGAGGGGGAAAGCTAATGGCCCCAGGGATGTTGCTAAACCTAATGCATTTGACAGCACCGCCCCCCAATTTAAGAAGGATCCAGCCCCAAATGCCAAAAGTGCTGTATTTGAGAGACACTGGCTTTATCATGAGGCGTCTCACCAGAGCCGACAGTCATGCATGTCCACTGAATGAGTGAAAGGTGAAGGTTCTTTCAAAATTATATTTCTCACTTAAACCAAGCTCAGTCAGAAACTTGAAAGCACGACCCAACAGGATAAATAAGGTTTAAAATACTTTATCCATAGTACCAATGATCCTAACTGAGGAACTGCGGTTTCTCTGATGCATCTATATTCCATCAAACGACACATCTGTACAAATATCACAACCCCCCCACACTGGATGACATTATAAAAAGCCCTCGCTCTCACCAGAAGCGTCATGACAACCAGCAGAGAAGTGCCAGAGCTCTGCTTACCCAGCTATTACAAACGAGTTCAATTACTAACATCATCTTCCATTTTATCCCCAATGGGACCCTTGGTGATAAAATGCTTACAAAAGAGAAAAGAGTCAAATACTACTTCCCCGAGCAATAGAGAATGCACTGCAGATTTGATTCTATATCAGAAAAAAGTTGAAGGTAAAGAGTTCTAGATGGTGTATGCTCCTCCCTGCCACAGATGGAATATAAACTTCCCTCCTACACAGGTAGGCACGCCTTAGCCCAGAGGTGTGGGGGTTATTTGTGACTGAGGAATGGGAGAAATGAAAACGTCTATTTTGTTCCTATGTCACAAGGGAACCTCTCGCAAAGCTAGAGAGTTCTGGTGCTGAGTCTGTAGACATACGCTTCTTTTTTAAGTGAAGGCGGCCTTTCTACCTGAGGAAGGCGTGAAGACAGAGATATATGAAATGGAGTCACTTTAACTAAGCTGCTAAAATTATTAACATTGTGAAGGTTGAGACTGGAGGAGAAAATTCTATTCTTGTTCTAAGTCACCTGAAAACTTAAACTTTTGAACTTTCCTGTTCTGCATCAACACCTGGACATACACCAGGCCCCCACACAGCGCTGTGATTACCCCCCTGAAGGACTCACATAGCCAGACTGCCTGACGTCCATCACCCAGCCCACCTGGCTTCCAGCATCCAGGCCACCTGCCATCTGATGAACACCATCCCGGGCCAGTCCTGGAGCAAGGGAAGCAGGGCTGATTATTCTTAAGAATGCACTTTTATTCTATTTTATTTTATTTTTTATTTTTACTATAAGAGCTCTTAACTTTTCTTTCCTTTTCAGAACACTCTGGGTTCTTTTGCTTAG